GCTCCCTTTGCGAATGCAGAGGGATACCTCGGCTGAGGAGGTCCCCTCAGAGGAGCCGGCGCCTCAGCCCTGCGGCAGGATCCCTAGCCAGGGCACTGGAGCTGGGGAAAGGAGCCCACACCATCTGGCAGGGGTATCAGCCAATATCCCTAATGAACTCAGATGCAGAAATCCTCAACAAAATGCTAGCAAACAGAATTCAGAAATATATTATAAAGATCATATACCATGATCGATTGGGATGCAAAACTGGTACAATATCCAGAAGTCCATTAATGTCATACACAAAAATTAAATGAAATATAAAAATTACCGCATTTTGACATGTATAATGCACACTTTTTTGCCGAAATTTTTGAGGGAAAAATAAGGATGAGCATTATACATGGGTAGTACTAATTCCATATCTACATAAATGTTTTTGACTCTTTCCTTTATGCTTATGCATTAAAAATATAACTCTAGAAAGCAATAATGATATCCATACACAAAATAACATCCTGGAATATGATAATCAGGTTTATTTCTACATATAAATAAATGAATAATTGAATTAAAAAATTAAAACAAAATTTTTTTTCCCCTGAAAGTCTGGGCTAAAAACATGGGTGCGCATTATACATGACAAAATGTGGTACATAATATGAATAGATGCAAAAAAAAAAAAAAGCATTTTATAAAATCCAGTTCCTATTTTAGATAAAAACTCACAGCAGAGGGGAAAGAGGGAACACACCTCAATGTAATAAAGGCCACATAAGTCAAACTCATAGCCAACATCACAAAGAGGAAAAACTAAAAGCATTTCCCTTACAGGAACAAGACAGGGACATCTGCTTTCAACACTCTATTTAACAATGTACTAGGCTAGCCACAGCAATCAGAGAAGAAGACATAACAGGTATCCAAATTGGAAAAAGGTAAAACTGTCATTATTTGCAGATGACATGATACTATATAGAGAGAACTCTAAAGATTCCACCAAAAAATTAATAGAATAAATGAATTCAGTAAACTAGCGGGATACTAAATAAATATTCAGAAATGTGTTGCATTTTTATACATCAATAATGAACTATCAGAAAGAAAAACTAAGGAAAACAATCACATTTACATAAAAAAGTAATAAAATACCTAGGAATAAATTTCATTGAGGTAAAAAACATGTACTCAGAAAATTCTAAGACACTGAAGAAAGAAATCAAAGAAGATAGTTATAAATGGAAGCAGAATCTGTGTTCATGGATAGGAAGAATTAACATCATTAAAATGTCCATAGTACCCAAAGCAATTATAGATTCAATGCAATTCCTATCAAAATACCTATGGCGTTTTTCACAGCACTAGAACAAATAACCCATAAATGTGTATGGAAACACAGAAGACCCTGAATAGCAATTTTGAAAAAGGAAAAAAAAAGAGATATCACACTACCTGACACCAAACCATACTGCAAGGCTATTGTAATCAAAAACAGCATGGTGCTATCATAGAAACACACACACAGATCAATCAGACAGAACAGAGGGCCCAGAGATAAACCCACACCTACATGGTCAATTAATCTTTGACAAAGGAAGCAAGAACATACAATGGGGTAAAGACAGTCTGTTCAATAAATGGTGTTGGGGAAAACTGGACAGATATATGCAAAAAGAAAAAAAGAAAAAAGAAACTAGACCACCTTCTTATACTACACACAAGGATAATCTCAAAATAGATTAAAGACTTACATGCAAGACCTGAAACCCTAAAATTCATAGAATACATAAGCAGTAAAATCAAGGACATCACTCTTAGCAATATTTTTTCTGACAGAGCTTCTTGGGCAAGGGAAACAAAAAAAATAAACAAATGGGACTACATCAAAAACTAAAAAGGTTTTGCACAGCAAGGGGAACCAACAAAACAAAAAGACAACCTACAGAATGGGAGAACTATTTTCCAATGACACATCTGATAAAGGGTTAATATTCAAAATTAATAAAGAACTCAGGCAACTCAACACCAAAAAACAAAACACCCCACTAAAAATGGTCAGAGGACCTGAATATATGCTTCTCAAAAGAGGACATACGGATGGCCAATAGACATTATGAAAAGATGCTCAACATCACCAATCATCAGAGAAATGCAAATTAAAACCACAAGAAGATACCACTTCAAACCTGTCAGAAAAGCTACCATTAATAAATCAACAAACAGCAGCAGCTGGCGAAGATGAAGAGAAAAGGAACCCCACTGCACTAGTGCAAATGCAGATCGTTGCAGCCACTGCGGAAAATAGTGTGGAGCTTCCTCAAAAAAAAATTAAAAATGGAATTGTTTTATGATCCAGCATTTCCACTCTGGGCATACATCCAAAGAAACCCAAACACCAATTCAAAAGACTATATGCACCCCATGTTCATTGTAGTGTTATTTATAATAGCCAAGATATAGGAAGCAACTCAAGTGCCCATTAATAGGCAAGTGGATAAAAAGGCAGTGGTACAATGGAATATTACTTGGCCATAAGAAAGAATGAAATCTTACTATTTGCAACAGCATGGATGGACCTAGAGGATTATTGTGCTAAGTGAAATAAGCCAAAGACAAATATCATATATATCACTTACATGTGGAACCTAATGAACAAAATGAACTAACAAAACTGAAATAGATTTACAGAAAGCGAGAACTGACAGAGGCCAGAGGGGATCGGTGTTGGGGGGCAGGGTGTAGTTCGGTGATGGGGTTATGAAGGACTGACAGTTACAATACAGGCAGGGGATATAAGGTAAAGCACGGGGGATACAGTCAACAACACTGTAGTAACTGTCCACAGTGCCAGGTCGGTACCGGAAGTGCCAAAGGGAACACTCTGTAAACTCTGTGAATGTTTATATGCTATACACCTGAAACTAATACACAACACTGCTGAATGCCAACTGTAATTAAGAAATAAAATAATTTTTTATCCTTAATAGGGATACCAACTCAAGGTACTAGAAAAACAAAAATAACACACAAGAATTTTCTTGGGAAAGATAACTTTTAAGTTTTGTAAAATCGACAACATGATTGCTTCAAGAACTCACACTTGCCCCAGACTGTCAGTCAGGCCGTGACGGGGACCTGCGATGAGCACTTCCGGTCCTGGAACCAACGTGGGCCCGTTCAGAGGGAGGGGAGCCGGCTGCCTGCCATACCCTGCGGCGCCCCGCCCTACAGGAAGCGCTGGGCAAAGATGACTTCTGAATGCAAAGAATGAACTCTTTGTCTTCTTTTTTTTTCCTTTAGTGATTTGTTTTCTGAGCTATATTTACATACCATAACATTTACCCTTTTAAAGTGCATCTATTTCATCATTCTTAGTGCATTCACAAGGTATGTGACCATCACCACTATCTAATCACAGGACAGTTTCATGACCCAAGAAGAAATTCCGCCCCTTCTTTAGTAGTCCTTCTCCCTAGTCCCTGGCAACCAATAACCTATTTTCTGTCTTACGGATTTGCCTATTCTGGACATTTCTTATACACAGAATCATTCAATGTGTGGCCTTTTGTGTCTCACCTTTCACCTCTCATTTACTATGTTTTGAAGGTTTCTCCATGTTGTGTCATATATCAGTTCATTCCTTTTTATTGTCAAGTAATATTCCACTATATTAATATACCATTTCATTTATCTATTCATCAGTTGGTGGACATCTCGGTTGTTGCAATCTTTTGGCTATTACTAATAATGCTACTATGAATATTCTTGTACAAGTTTCTGGATGGATGTAAGCTTTCATTTCTCTTGGGTATATACCTTGGACTGGAATTGCTGGGCCACAGGATAACTCTGCATTTAACCTTCTGAGGATCCGCTGTGTTTTCCACAGCAGCTGCACCATTTTACATTCCCACCAGCAATGTATGGGGGTTTTAATTTCTTGATATCCTTACGAAAACTTGTTGTGGACCACCTCTTTTTTTTTTTTTTTTAAGTAGAGTTTGTGGTTTTATTGATTTGAGAGAGAGAGAGAGAGAGGAAGGGAGAGAGGGAGCGAAGCATCGCTTTTTGTTGTTCCGCTCATTCACACTTTCACTGGTTCATTGTTTTATGTGCCCTGACCACGGACTAAACCTGCAACCTTGGTGCGCTGGAACGTCATTCCAACCAACTGAGCTACCCAGCCAGGGCACTCCGTTTTACTGACTGAGTGGAATTTAGGGTACTTTTGGAACACCTAAGCAGAGCTATCACCAGGACATCTGGATATACAGGATACACAAACCTGGAGTTTACAGGTCACCTCAGGGCGAGAGGTGTAAACATGGCACGTACACGTGTGCAAGGCATGACTGAAACAGGGGAAGGGGCCTGGGTGATGCCACCCACTAGCAAGTAAGAGAAGGGGGTCTGTGACAACCATTTAACACCCAGGAGCTGGCGGATGACTGCAAGGCAGACTGATCTGAGGAGTAATACATTACAGGAGCTAAGGGAGCAGAGCGTGTATCCAGAAGGAAGAAGTGGTCAACAGTGTGAGAAGTTACTGCAAGGCTCCATGAGATGCCACCTGACTGACATGGGACCCTGTTCACCCAGCTGGGAGACTATAATGAAGAGGTCTGAGAGCCAACAGGTGGTGCCTACAAGATACTCTTCCAGAGGGCTCTTGGAAGTGACCCAGGTATTAGAGGTTCAACTACTACCCACTTTTTAGAGAAAATCTAATAGAAGAGCAGATGCCCAAAGCCCTCGCTGCTGTATCCAAAAACCTCGTCTCAGGAACTGGCTCAAACTGGAGTACAGAAAAGAGCAGATACCAGCCCAGGCACAGCCTCTGTCCCAAGGCTGGTTAAATATGTATAGCTTTAAAAACTAGGGCAATACCTGAGACCTGACACCAGGGTGCAAGGCAGGGGGGGCTCCTCCTGTCCCACAGTACACAGCGGGCGGGGTGCCAGACCTGGGGCTTCTGGCTGCAGCAGCGCACACCGTTTTCCCAGCCTGAACCCGCTTACCTGGTAAGATTCCTGAACCCTGGACTTTGACTCTCTCCTTTTCCTGCTCGTCTGTTCGCTCTGAGTTCTCAACCACCTGATCCAACTCCTCATTCAGCTAAAGGGAGAACAAAGAGGGCAAGCAGGTCAGCTACACCAGCCTTGCTTTTCCAGACTAAAGTAAGAAAGCAGAAGCTTCTTCTCACTTAATCATTAAAAAAAAAAAAAAAAAAATCACATGATCTAGGCAGGGTAGTATACCAATTCTACAGATAGGGATCCAGGCTCAGAAAACTCCAGCAACTTCCTTATACACTCGTGCCAGATCAAGCACCACAAACTGGGTGGCAGGAAACAACAGAAATGTGTTCCCTCCGAGTTCTGGCAGGGCTGTTCCTCTGAGGGCCATCGGGAGCTCTGCCCTGTGCCCCCCTGCCCCCCTGCATCCCCCCCAGCTTCCAGTAATGGCCGGCAACCCTTGGCGGGCGCTTCTTGGCTTGTAGATGTGCCCCATCTCCAGCCTCTTGCCTCCAGCCTCATGTGGGGTCTCTGTTCCTTCACACCGTCACCTTTGTATTAGGGCACCATTCATATTGGATTTGGGCCCACCCTACTCCAGTGTGACCTCATTTTAATTAATTCACATTTGCAGTGACCCTATTTCCAAATGAGGTCACGCTGTAAGGTACTGGGGGTTAGGGCTTCAACATATCTTTTTTAGGGGGGTAACAATTCAACCCAACACTTTCCATGGCGATAAATACAGAGTAAAATCCAAGCTAACCTAGTACCAAACCCATGATCTTAACCACTTCCCAGGGAAGGAGGAAATGCAGCTTAGAGTCTGCTGAGCAAGAAGAGGGAACAGTGAGCCTTCCAGGACTCTGGCTAAAGTTCACCCACTCAGGCCACAAATGGCAGAGAACAAAGTGGGGAGGGCCAGTCCATTTCGGATGCAGACGTTCATTAGCAGCCAGTAAACGGGCAACCTCAACCTCACTCCCGCAGTGTTCTCGCCTGTCGAATTGGGGGAAATGATGCCACTGAGGAGGGCAGGCAGGCAGAAAGGATTCAATGATAACCAACAAGTCTCTGTAAAGAAGGGGGGCAGGAGAGGTCAAGGCTAGAGAGGAGCAGCAGCTGTCACTGAACTGGGATGAAAGGGGGAGGGGAGAGCTTTCCCAAGTATTTTCTTAGGTGCACGTTGGACATGCTGACCGTCTCAACATTTTCATTAGAAATTCATTGCCAAGGGGCATGAGTTAAATAAAGCTCTATGCATCTATTATTCCTGAAGGTTCCTCTCCATTCCTCTACTCCTGCCCCTTACAATCAGTTAAAACTCCCAGCTTAAAGCCTTCCAGTCCCAAAAGAAAAGAAAAAGCAGAAGAGGGCTGGGAAGATGGCGACAGCTGCAAGAGACAGACCCAGGCCCCTAGCGGGAGCACACAGCTCAGGAAGTCCCCGGAGCTTTTGCTGGCCAAAGGGAAGAGAGGATGTTTGTCCCAGGAAGGCTCGAAGTTCTCTGATCCACGCCTAACCCAGGTGCAGCCTCACCCAGGTCCCCTCCTGACTCCCTGCGGCTGCGACGAAACCACCTCCTGGCCTGCGCTGGCCGAATTCTCAGCTACCGCATCCCCTAAAGCCAAAGTCTCCCCTCAGTTAAAAAAAAAAAAAAAAAAAAAAACCTGACTCTGAGCTAGGACCACTCTCAGAATGATCCAGGCAAGAAAGATGCAGGCCACTCTGCGGGAGGCCACCTTCTTCTGAAGGTGAGAGACAAGGACTGCAGAACAGGTCACTAAAGAAAGGAGAAGCGTCCCTCCAGTGCCTTGCACCATGGAGGTGCCCCCAAATACTGACTGACTCTACTTTTGGCCTTGCCCCTGCAAGCAGGATAACTGCCTAAATTTTAATGAACATTTTAGGAGCCCTGCTAAGTAAGGAGATACTGCAGGCTAAATGCGCATGGTGAGGAACACGGTCCTATAAAACCAGGGACACCAAAGCTCCCTAGAAGCAGGAGCTGCACACACCCTGTTAACAAGACCTATTATTTCATTCACCTGCCAGGCACTGAGCTAAGCAAGCAGTTTCCACATACCAACTCATCTAACCCTCAGAACCCTAGGAGATGGGGCCTATCATTATCTTCATTGTGCAGATGAAGAAACTGAGTCTCAGAGAACTTAAATGATTTGACAAAAGTCACACAAACAGCAAGAGGCAGAGACCAGATAGAAACATGGGGTTTTTGACTTCAAAGTCCTAGTACTTACCCACTATGGTCTCCCTCCTATAAACCTGAAAACCTTCAGAGTCAGGGAAAGACACAACTCATTCCCAGGATTCCCCCACTTCAAGGACATGAAATCTAGAGGCCACAGAATCCACAGCACTTGTTAAAAACCCATCAGGCTACTTTCAGATACAAGAATGAGATGAGATAAAGATGATGGTAGGAGAAACAGAAAAAGCTGTCCCAAAGTCAAATTCCAGCCCAGGTCCCACACTAAAAATGGCCGGCCAGGCTCAGCAAATCTCACCTGACTCTAACTCAGCTTCCCCTTGTACTGCCGGGCTAAGCCACCTGTTTTGTGTATGCCACACTGTCACTGACAAAGGGAAAAATGTACATCATATTGATCAGTGTTGAGCAAGACAGCAGCAAGTTGAACTGAGAAGGGCAGGCAGAATGCTAGGCTCGTCTGGGCAGTCAGTCTCCATGGAGCAGGTGGGATTTGAGAGTCTCCCCTTGAATGATGAGGGGATTTGAACCAATGAGCTTGAGGAGGGTTAAAGGAGGAGAAATGGTGGGAGCACAGGCATAGAGGCCAGGAAGCAGGAGCACATTGTAAACAGTGAGCTTCCAGGTGTGGCCAGAACCTAGGTGGGTGAGGAGGTGGTGAAGGTAACGCGGGATACAGTCGCTGAGCGGGGCAGAGCGTTAAAATCTCGCTGAGAAGTCTGGACTGTTCTGAGGGGACCAAGGCCAACATCAGGTGTATGGAAAAAACGAATGCTCTGGGATTAAGGCAGGGCCTCAAAGCAAATCTGCACAGGGAGAGGCCAAAAGGAACAGGCGGTAACACGGTATCACACTCAGGTGGGTAGAGCAGACACAGGGACACAAACCGGAGAACTGAAGATGTGGTACTGCCAGTCCTTGGCAAGTGAGGGGGACACCGTGAGGGGCACAGGGGAGGAAGATGACCGAGGTTTGGGACTTGAGAGGAGGAGAAGGCGAGCAGTTCAGTCGTTGCAGCAGGAGTCAGAAGGAAGAGCTGGTTTGAGGGAAAAGCTGCAATGGCAGCCTGTAGCTCAGGGCAGATAAGAAAGAGACAAAGAACTTGAAAGTGATAGTTACAAAGTCGTGGGAGGAGGTGAGACCGGAGAGAAAGACGTAGTGAAGAGAGAAGAGACTACGTCGGTGAAAACGTATCTTCAAAGTTAGGCGGCCGCTAAAACAAGATGTAATCATCCCTATCATTAACAGCTGCAGCGGCCACGCGGCCTTGGGCTGGGAGGAGGGCTGATGCCCACCGTGCATCCGCTCCAGCTGCGAGCAGGGCGCAGGCGCTTCCACTTGTTGCAAATAACACCGGGATCCTCGAGGCCACGCGGGGTTCTCCCGGCCCGCCGCGTTGCTGCCTGAGTCCGATGAGGCTTTAATCATTCACCTGCTGGTTAGGAGTCGCGGCTCCGGGGCCCTAGCTCCTGCCAAGTGACCGCAGCATCCGGAGGAGGTTGGGCGCCCTGCTTCCTTCCTGCTCTGCCGAACGTCCGCACGCGGGGACCCCCATCCTGACGCACTCACCCGCTCCTCGGAAGCGCGCCCCGACGCCCCCCTCACCCCTCCCACTCGGACTCCTGGTACCCGAGTCCTCTGCTTCACAGGAAACTTTGTTTCCGCGCCCCACACTCCCAGCCTTGTACCTCCTGGTAGGATGTGGAGAGCTCCTGCCGGATCATGGCACTGACCGGAGCTAAGGCACACCAGAACCCGCTCCGCCGCGGAGAAGTAGCGGACCGAGGACTGAACAGGCAGCGCAGGAACCTGCCGGCTGCGCGAAGTACAACGGGTTCGGAGGGGCGGTCCCGAGGCCGGGCGGAGCGGCACTCGGCGCATGCGCCTTGCTTCCTCCGCGGGTGGGACCGCGAAAGGGTTGCTGGGAAATGTAGTTCTGGGCAGAGGGCACTCCTCAGCACCCAAGGGGTGGCGAAGCCGGCGAGTACCTAAAAGAAGACACGCATAACCCCGGCGTTAGAAGGACGTGCTCTCTTCATCTCTCACTTCCTCTTTGTTGAAGGGGACAGGGACAGAGAAACTTAGCGGAAAGCGAAACACGTGGGCCAGGTCAGATGAGTAGGAGTGCCTAGTTTATCATTGCAAGAGGAAGCTTGGCCTGGTGGTTTATAGCCGTAATAAATGTCTGGTGAACACCTGCTATGTTAAAAGCACTTTCACGCACATTATGCCCTTGATCCTGCAAGGACCCGTGTAAGGGCGACATTATTCTTTCTGTTTTATAGATGAGAAAACCGAGATACCTTGTTTCAGAAAGCATGGGGCCGGGTGGGGGCGATGATCAAGAGATTAGTTAATCCAGGAATGGGCTCTAGAATCCAAGTTCGTCCATCATCCCTGGGCAGCCACTTGCATGCGGGGCCTCAGGGTTCCTGTCCTGGCTCTGCCCTCCTCCCGCAGGTCTTGCAATGCCCTGAGCGCTCCGCTCTCACAGCGCTGTTCACCGCAACAGGAGCCTGGCGCCCTGAATGCGGTGGGGTGGACCCAAGGCCCACATCTCCCCCTTCCCCCCACCTCCTGAACAGCGGTTTTGTGTGGCTGCCCTGGGCTGCTGAGGCATGAGGCAGATAGAGGGTGCTTATGCCTTAGTGAATGCTGCCCTGTGCCGGCGCAGCTGCAGCTCTGCCACCCCCGCATGCAGGACACTCAGGAGCTCTTCCTTCTTCCGCGGCAACCACAGTAGCAGCGAGCACATGAGAGCAGCCTGGACCTCCCAGAGCATTGCCGTGAAGGCCTCCGTCGCCTCTCCTGACCACCCTCCCATCCCAGGCGCCCTGCTCCACATCTGTTTATTAAACGTGACAGTACATATAGCACCTAACACATTGTAGGCACTCAACAGTGGTTTGTGATGACTGGAACATTTCCTCCAGCCATTACATTTAACACTTGTTTGCCAAAACAAACAACTCATTAATTTCCTTACTGTATTAATACCAGGGTGGTTGACAGAACAAGTCATACAATAGAATCTTAGAGCTGGAAGGAGCCAGAGAAACCTACTTCAGCCCTATCATTTCCCTTTACTCTTTGCTGATGTGACCAAACTGGAAAATGATGGGCTCCCATATTAGAAGGAGAAACTGACCAGCACAGTATTCAGCATGGTTTAACAAATACAATGCGCTGGCCACTGGGATGCCAAATGAATAGGATACTCCAAGGTCCTTGCTCTTGCGGCTCTTCCATGCTACGGTGGAGAGACATCTATGAACACAAATAGAATTTTCTGTACGTGCTGTCCCCAGGTCCTTTCCTTCCATCCCCTCAAGCACACCCCAGTCAGGCTTTCATGCTGGCCACTCCACAGAAGTGGTGCTTGCTCTGCTCACGAATGGTCTCGGAGTTGTCAAAGCAGATGCGCATCTCCCCATCCTCCTCTTTCTTGATCTCTCAGCTGTGTTAGACTCAGCTGAGCGTCCTTCCTCCCTGTACACTTTCCTCCTGTAGCTTACAGGACCCCACACACCCCCAGGTTGCTTCTCACCATATGCCCTGTTCCTCCTCAGTCTTCTTCGGTGGTGTGTCCTCACTGCCTCGACTCTACAGGGTGGCAATCCTCAAGCTAGATCTTCGATCCCCTTTCTTCTCACTCCCTAGGGGCTAGTGGTCTTCTCTAGTCTCATGGTTTGAATTGGTATTTATACCCTAAAGAGTCCTGTTACGGATTGAACGCTGTCCCCCTAAAAGACATGTTGAAGTCCTAACCCCTGGCACCTGAGACTGTAACCTAATTTGGAATAGGACTGTTGCGGATGCAACTAGTTAAGGTGAGTTCATACCAAGTGAGGTGATTGCCACATCTCTTATGACTTATGTTCTTACAAAAAGATGTAAGCTAGTGAAGATGACGTGAAGATAGGCCCACAAGGAAAACGTCCTGTGATGACAGGAGCTGATGGCAGCGATGCAGCTGTAAGCCAGGGTGGCCTCAGCCATTTATTGCTGGTTACAGGTCACAGCCTGGGCGGCCAGGTTCTGTCCTTGGCTAAGCAACAGGCAGAAAGTCCCAAGTCTCACCAGCCACCACCAGAAACTATAAGGGGCAAGGAGGCATTCTATCCAGGGTCTCGGAGGGAACATGGCCCTGCCAACACTTTGATCTCGAACTCCTCGCCTCCAGAACCACAGGGGAATACACTTCCGTTATTTGAAGCAACCTCGTTTGTGGTACCTGGGTACGGCAGTCCTAGGAAATGGACACAACTCTCAACCGCATGCAGTGAATAACTCCTCCAGCTCCCCCCTGCGTGCAGGCTCACTCGTCCAGCTGCCTCGGCGCCTTCTCTGCTGGACGTGTGCCCGCCGCAGCAGAGGGTGGCTGCTGCAGGTGTGGGCCTGGCAACCAGGCTGCCTGGCTCTAAGTCTCAGCTCTGGCACTTATCAGCTCTGTGGGAACTTTACTTAATCTCTCCGTGCCTCAGTGACCTCATATATAAAAGGAGAATACAGGGAGTCATTGCTTAACACCGTCAAAAGGTTCTGCAACTTTAAGCGAAATGACATAAATTGAACCCTGTTTTACCACAGGCTATTGATACAAACAAGAGTTAAGTTTCCATGGCATTTCAACACAAGAACAAAATGACGACTCTGAATGAAACGTTAGTTGAGGGTCTGCTGTATTACTACTACCCACTTCAGAGAGCTCAGAGAGGATTAACTGAGTCATCAGATGTAAAGCACTTGGGTAAGTCGTATGTTAATGTTACTAGTTATTGCAAGGTTCAAAACTGAACTATTGATATTCCTATCCCAGATCCGCTCCCTTGCCTGCCTTCCTCACTGTCCTAAACTCCATCCTCCCATCGGCTCTGACCAGACTCTGCAGTCATTTTTGGTTCCCCCCTTCTCCGACGCCCTACATCTAAATCAGCAAATCCTGCTGGCTCTACGTTAAACACTTATTCAGAAACTGACCATAGTTCACCCCCGCCACCATCACCGCCCTGGTGATGGTACACACCAGCGGCATGTCCTGTGGACTATTTGCGGTCGCCTCCTAGCTGGTCCCTCTCCTTCCACCCTTGGACCCTATGGCCTATTCCCAACACAGCAGCCGGTGAGAACCTGCTAAACAAAGTCAGGTGATGCCAGTCCTCTGCTCCAACGAAAGCCAAAGTCCTCGTTCACAGCGGCCTACAGGGCCCAATCGGCTCTGTCCTGCAGCCCCCACCTTTTCTATTTCTCCTCCCCTCACTGTCTCAGCCTCAAGGTGCTGAGTCTAAGGGCCTTCGCACTGGCTGTGCCCGGTCCCTGGGGTGCTCTTGTGCTGCGCATGCGTACGGCTCTCTTCCTCACTCCCTTCAGGTCTTTCTCTAAATATCACCTGGTCAGGGATGCCTCTTCTGAGCATCCTGTTAAAACTCCGTTGCCAGCAAGTCCCTTATGCTGCTTTATTTTTCTCCTGCACAAGTATCACCTTCTGACTTTCATTTCTTTGCGGTCTCCCTGCACTAGAATGTAATTTACATGAAGGCAGGGTCCTCTTGTGTTTTATTCATCGCTGTATCCCAGGGCCTTTGACAGTGCCTGACCTGTATTGGTACTTAAATAGTCATTTGAATAAACATGCAAAGTACCTTCACACAGTGGCATGTGAAGGAGAGCGCTAGGGAAGCTGTGCAGAGGCGCTGCTTTATCCCATGCCCTTCAAGAGGCTTCAGAATGGTAGTGACTTTGTGAGTTGAGACTTGAACGACAAGAAGGAGCCCGCACATGATGACTTCCACCCCAAACAAAAGGCACCAGTACAGTACAAAGGTCCAGGCTGGAACCCAAGCAGAAAGCAAGGTGGCTGGAGGGTCATATAGGAGACAGACTCAGAGGGGTAGACAGAGGCCTGATGGTGCAGGGTGGGTTGAGCCAATCCCGGGCTTGCTTTTTCTCAGATGTGGTCCTTGTCTCTCCGCTCTGGGTTGCAGGAGCTGGCCCTGCGGGCTGAGTTTCCACCGGGTTCAGTCAAGAAGAAGCTCTGTTGGGGGCTGGAAGGGGTGAGGGCAGGGGAGAAGCCAGGGTTTTCTTTCCCTTGCGGTCTGCCCCTGCAGCTTCCCTCCATGGCCCCAGCCCCTGCCACGAAGGCGTTCTGTGGTTCTGGCTTCAGCCAGGTGATCCAGGCCCCCAGTCTCTAGCACCACTACCTCTTCCCTTCCGGGGGCAGGATGTTGCTAATCTTCCCGCTGTTCCTAGCCATTGGGTTGCTTCTCAGCCTCTTCTATCACCTGCGTAACCAACTCCCTGCATTACAGTCACTCTTTTACTTAGAATAGTTTCTGTGTTCCTTGCGGGTGACCGACTGATTTGCTTGGAAAAACAAACCTGGTTCGAGTAGACAGGGGCGATCAGGGGGGCGTCTGGAGGAACCCAAGGGCGTATGAGCGTTGAATTATAGGCTCGTACTCAGGATCTTGGGGAGGAGGACACTAGATCTGATCAGCAGAGATTATAGGGAGTATCTTTTAGCTCAAAGGAGTTGCTAACAAATAGAACTGCACAGAGAGAAAGGGCTCAAGCAGAGGAGTGGCACAGAGTGTGCCAGGGATGTTATCAGGGAACACGATGCATTGGGACGGGGATGATACCCTATTCAAGGGTTTAGAAGGGCCTCTCTATCCTGGAGCTCCTGTGACACCGTGTGACACAGATACTGCATGCCGTAGCTCACACAGCCTCTTGAGTCCATTCTGTTTTTAGTTCAGATGCAATCCTTTCAAGGAGGCAGGCCGATCTGTTACTAATGTTACTAATGTGGACACTGAGACTCAGAGGGTTTGTGGACAGATCTGTTTAGGTCGCTCTGCCCGAGAAGCCAATTCTGTTGAATATGGAAACGTGGCACAGTCCCTGGGGGGTTGTGGCCTCGTGGTTAGGAGCAGACTCTAGGATACAGGGCCTGTGCTGGGGTCTTGGCTCTGCTACCTACTACTGTGTGACCTTGGGCAAAGCACTTAAACTCTCTGCACTTCAGCTTCACGCTCTGTAAAATGGGCGATAATAATATTCTTACTTCACGAAGTCGTTGTGAGGATGGCATGAGTTGACACAGGTAAAAGCACTGAACCAGAGTTTGGCACGCAGCAAGCCCTGCCCTGGTCTCCTTCGCCGGTCATCTCAACCGCGAAATGTTGGCAGGGCTCAGGGATGCAGTCCCTGGTCCCCTCCTCCTCCCCATCCACACTTCCTTAGCAATCTTCTTCACTCTGTGGCTTTAAATACAACGTGTAAGCCATTGATTCCAAAATATATCTCTAGCCAAAGCACTTCCAATTCCAGACTCATACAGCCAACTGTTGCTTTGATTCTTCTCCTTAAGTATGTGTCTCTGAGTGTCTTCTCCTCCCAAACTAGTTCCTCCAACCATCACACCTTGCACACTAAGTGGCAACTGCATTCTTCCTGTGGTCCCAGCCAACACCCTCAGGTTGACCCTTGACTCCTTTCTGTCTCTCCTTCTTTAGAGCCCCCTGTCTCATCCGTCAGCAAATCCTATCAGCCACACCTTCAAAACAGGTAGCAATTCACCCTCTTTTCCCTACCTCCCTTGCTGCCACCACTATCCCTCGCCTGGGTTATTGCGGTAGCTCCCGGCGTCGGTGTATTCTCAGTACAACAACAGCGATTTCTGTGGACGTTTTCACTAATCCCCGTTTCATTCTCTCAGCATAAAAGCCGAAGCCTTAAAAATAAGACGTGAGGCCCCATGAAATCTATGCCCTGTTCAGCTCCCTTTACTCCCTTACCCACTAGTCTCCTACCGCTGTTCCCTCCTGGGAGTTCCTCCATCAAGCAGGCTCTCTCCTTCCTCAGCATATATGCACCTGACTTTCCCTTTCCAGGGATTTTTCTCCCTTGGAGACCACCTCCCGCTCCTCCCTTAGGATTTTATACAAATAGCACCTTCTCGGTGGAGCCTTCCCTGGTGAGCCAATTTAAAATTGCAACCCCGAGTGCTCCCTGTTTCTTTGCCCTGCTTAATCCCCACCGCCCCCGCCCTCCGCCCCCCCACCCCCCCGCGCCGGTTTCTGTTGCCATCCAACATGCTACTTACGTATTTCTCTTCTTATCTCGCCCACTGAAGGCAAGATCCATGTGGGTCAGTCCTCTTCAGGGAGGTGCCCCCAAGGACTTCATTAAGTATATGCTAAATACATTTACAAACGTTAGTTATTATTTCAGTACATATCTGTGCCTTGCCCTACCTTTTGCAAAAATCCCCTTGGGGATCCGAGACTTAAACACAGCTGGGAAGAAGAAAAAGAATCAGCCCTAAGTACACGTGGATTAATAAAGTTGAGGTCCTAGTTCATAGATACCAGGATGGACAAAAGTAGGTTACAGTTGTGAGTACGCGAAACAGAGTTTATTCTTGTATTATTATTTTATTTTATTTTTGTATTATTTTCCGTTGGAACAACTGTAAAACTACTTTTTCCCACGGCTGTATTCCTTCCCAGGTGCTGAAATGCCGGATTGTGCTGCCTATGTACTCCATCAAGGAACTTCTGCAACCTGCATCGCTCTTTGGCTCAACTTGCAGTTCGCAGCTTGGAGTCAGGGTTATAGTGCTAGTTCAAGTTTCCCGCGGCGCGGGCGAGGCTGACTCCAGCTCCTGGCGGCGGGCGGGGTTCCGGCCGGGGGCGTGAGCGCGCGGGTCCCGCTGCCCGGGCCACCCAGGCCACCCAGGCCCCGCTTCAGCACTCAGCATGGCGGGACCCGCGCCTGGGCGGCTGCTGCGAACGCTGGCCGCGCTGGCCGCGCTGGCCCTGGTCCTGGCACTGCTGGCCCTGGGACCGCCCGCAGTCTGGGCCGGGCAGACGCCGCGGCCCGCCGAGCGGGGGCCCCCGGTGCGGCTCTTCACCGAGGAGGAGCTGGCCGGCTACGGCGGGGAGGAGGTACGCGGGGCAGCGCGGGCCGAGGGGCTCGGAGCCAACCGTTCTCGAACGGAGGGAGCCCGGGACCCGGCGGCCGCCGACGCCGAGCGGGGAGACCTGGGCCGCGGCGGCGCCCCCTCCCGGAGCCAGGGCTCGGAGCGAGGCGTCGGGATTCGCGGGCCTGTTCTCTCCAGGCCCCGATGGCCGCCCAGGGATAAGGCGGGCCCTCAGCGGTCTCAGCGCCCTGCGTCGCCCTTCACCAAACCGCAGACCCACGCCACTCTTCCCTCTGTCTTCTCTCGAGCTGCCCCCTTGAGCCGCATTTTGGCTGGTGGTCTGTAAGGAACCTCAGCATTTTTTTTTGGAGCGAGTTAGCATCGGCGGGGGGGGGGGGGGGGGGGGGGGCGGGGAGCGCAGACACTTCTTCTGCCTCGGTTTTGGGGGAGTGGCAGGGGAGGGAGGCAGGGAATCAAAGCCTGGTCCTGAGTCAGGCGGGATTAGGGCGCGCCCACGGGTGATCCAAGCCTTCCCTGCACTCTGTTTTCCTGCCCCTCTGTCCCAGGCCTCCTCTGCAGCTGACTCCGCACACACGCTTTTCCTACCTGCGCCCTTGGGACTAAGCAGGAGCTGGGAGGAGGGCGGTGGGGAGGGGGTCGAAGGGGAAAGACAGGTTCCGCGCAACGCACCCACATCAGTCAGTAGTCTGGAGGTATCCGGAAACACCTCGCAATCACCTGCCCATTGGGGTGGAGGGGACCCCGTAAGAAGGCTTCCAAGTGTGGGAACTAGAACAGGAGCAGGGCCACAGAGCGGAGGGGGAACAGTGGGGAACAGAGCGGGGGGGGGGGCGCGGGGGGAAATCACGGGGCCAGAGCAATTCAGAGTTGATAAAAAGCAACCGCCTGCTTTTACACATGGGGAAGCTCAGGCACGCTGACAGAGGAGAGTAAGAAGCTGGGAAAATTCCTGGGCAAGCGGAATGGAGAAACTGAGACAAGAAAATTGAACAAGGCGAAACAGTTCGAGCAACTTACAGCCAGCTGATGAATCACAAGACCTTATCTCCCCTAACCCAGGACGCTTGAGAGCAAATGGTTTATACCTCCCTAAACAGAGAATACAGAGCTTCCTGGCCACATGGCTTCCTGGAAAGAGAGGAATGCTTTGTGAATGGAGAGAGAACGCGAGAACACCAAGAGGGAGCGAGCTGGAGCTGGAGACGAAGCTGCCAGATTCCCCTTCAGCTCCCCCTAGGGATTTCCCCCTCCCAAGTCCCCACCCTTCCCCTATATGAACTTGCTTCTGGAAGCTCAGGGGAAGGTGGATGTTAGGGTTTTTACCCACCGCCCTCTCAGATTGTTGGCCTCTGATATTGATTGATTGATTGATTGGGAGGGCAAAGGAGAAAGAGAGGGAGAGAAACATCAATGTGTGGTTGCCTCTCACTCACCACCACTGGGGACCTGGCCAGCAACCCAGGCGTGTGCCCCAACTGGCAGGCCGGCACTCAGTCCACTGGGCCACACCAGCCAGGGCTGACCTCTGATGTTAATAAAAACGCACTATAACCCCGTCCCTGTCTCTGCTTTTTGACTGAGTGGTGGCAGGCAGCACTAGCCCTGGACTCGGCTGCCCTCTGGTTTCAGTGCCACCGGTCAGTGGTAGAATGGGGAAGGGACCCAATATTCTTTTGTTAAAACCCTCTCGCCAGGGCTCCCGCCCCGCTAGGTTAAGTAGCCTTACATAGGCCAAGTTTGAAAGGGGACCTGGAAACCTGGCCCTTAGGTAGTGATGGGAATTTGGGCACCATTATTAAGAGAGGTTGTGTTAGAAGAAGCTTGAGTTAATGAGACCACAGAGGGAGGGAGACAGGGATTGTGACAAGATGTTAAAGGACACTATCTTCTGGGACAGCAGGGAACTGTATGGTGTAGAACAGGGACCCCCAACTCCCGGGCCAGGGACTGGTACTGGTCCATGGCATGTTAGGAACTAGGCCACATAGCAGAGGTGAGCTTGAGTGCAATGTGCTTGAATCATCCTGAAAGCATCCCCCGCACCTCCCCGCCTCCGCCCTCCCCTCCCCCATCCATGGAAAAATTGTCTTCCACAAAAGGGGTCCCTGGTGCCAAAAAGGTTAGGGACCGCTGGTCTAGAGTCCTGGAATCTGTGCACCAAAGAGTTAACTTAGCAGGCTTGCTGTCCTTTGAAGGGCCTGTGGCAAGAGTGGCTCTGGGCTGGTGTCTGGATTTCCGGGTGTCCCACACTTCCCTAACAGATAGGGTGGCTGGGTCTGGGCTCTCTGCACAGTGTGTTTACATTGAACACTGCCAGGCAGAGAGGGCCTACATGGCCCGAGCACAGTAAAAACCTTGGGCCTGAGTCTCTAAAGGGCTTCCCTGGGCAGAGACATGGCACACGGGTTGCTGCATTTGTTTCTGGGGAGGAGTGTGCTGTGCGTGAGCCTCATAGGAGGGAGAGCATACAGGAGTCTGGATGTGTGCAGCAACCACCTTCTGGACCAGTGATTTTCCGCTGGTGTGTGGCAAGGATTTTTAAAACATGCAGTACCTAACTGTTTAATCAGGGGCACGACCTCTTTTCCCGTAGATTGTCAAATAAAAAAAAAATGACAACAGCCAACTCAACAATAGCCATCTAGTGTGAATGAATCAAAATTATACCTATTTTTTTTTGGTCAGATTGGCAAAAGATATAATTTCTGGTGTGTGAAGGATTTTAGTAATTAGTCTCTGTGTGCCTCAAGATGAAAAGGTTGAAAATCGCTGTTCCTGACTCCTTGTGTCCTTTTCCCTTATGGCAGGCTCTGTGTCCTCACCGCATCCCTGTAATAAATCCTGCTCTGAGTACAACCTGACACTGAGTTCTGAGCCCTTCTAGTGAATCTCCAAACATGGGAGTAACCTTGGGGGGCCCCCAGAGCGGAACCCAAGGGAAGAGAAAGAGAGTTCCGAGTTTACTGTGCAGGGTACCAGACACAGCCGTACTGGGGGCTGCAGGATGGGGACTGAGAAAAGATCTTTGGTTTTTTAAGCTGATATAATTGATTGATACTTAACTGAGGGATGGAGAGATGTAAGCTTGAGGTGGAAACTGGGTAAGGAAAGAATATTTGGGGTTAGGGGCCCATGGGATGTCCGTAGGCAGAGAGAGAACGGGGGGGGGGGGCAGTTGAAACTGGGTTCTGTGATCATGGCAGGTCTAAACTCCGAAGGGCCGGCTGTAGGGAGGGTGGGCTAGAAACCTTGAGCAGGAGCAGACGCTGCAGCCCACGGGTGGCATTTCTTCTTCCTTAGGGAAACCTCAACTCTGTTCCTAAGGCCTTTCAGCTGTTGCGAGCAGGCCCACCCAGATTATCCAGGATAATCTTTACAAGAAGTCAACCGATTGTTGAAGTTAATCACATCTATAAAAACCTTCACAGCAACACCTCCATACGAGTTTGGTTGTATAACTGGATACTGAAGCCAGTCCAAATTGACACATAAAACTGACCATCATAATGGTTATAAAAAGGGCTCCTACCCTTTTTTAGGGCTTTTGTGAGAATTAAATGAGATGGTAATATGCAAAGTGCTTAGCATAGGTCTGGTGTAGTCTTAGCACAGTAAGCCTGAATAATCTTAACGCCTATTATTTTATTAGTTTATTATTAAAGATTCAAGCAAGAGGCAGTATAACGGGTCTACCACCCTTTTATACAATTTAGAAATTGAATAAGCTCTGAAAACCAGAAGATTTTTTTTAACAAGCCATTTGACAGCAAAACTGCCCTGATCTGAAGGCCTGGAGATGGGACTTGTCGGGCTGACGCAGCCTGTTCACAGTGTCCAGTCATCCTGCTGAGTGTGAATGTGCCTGTCCGTGCTTTACCGCGGAGACATTAGTATAATTGATTGTGGGGGGCCGCCTTAGACCTTCTGCAGGTGTCATGGGATGTGCCCTATAATCCCTTTCTAAAATCTGACAAATTCTGAATTCTGCAACATAGCTGACCCCCACGAGTGTCCCTGTGGGATTGTGGACCTGTATAGCAAGGCTTTCTGAAACGCCTAGCAATGAATGTCTTAACTTCTACTGCAGCCTTTTTGGATGAGAGCCGAGGGAGACAGGCCCACCTGTGCTGTCCCGCGTTCCGCTGCGTGGTTCGTGGTCAGAGCTCAGGCACCCGTGGAAGGAGTGCGTCGTGTCCCTGGTGGATGCTTCAGACTGTAAGGGAGCCGGGGGTCCCGGCTGCTGTGCCCCTCACAGAGCCGTTCTGGACCTTCCGCACGAGGCCCCGACCCAGTTTCCCCCTCTGGGGCCTTTTAGGTCCTCAGAGTGTCCACAGCGTGGCTCTCTGAGTCTCTCACACACAGGAGTAGAAAAATAGCTATTCTTGTCCTTCTGACACAAACGAGCCCTCTTGGAATGGCTGCTGAAAATCCCGCCCCCTTGGTGCCTCTTCAGAGCCCACTGTCCCAGAAGTTGCCTGTGCTCAGCCCCCAGCTCCGCCTGGAATCTGCGCTAAGGGGGCACGGGGCTACATTGTCTCCCGCTTTTCTAAAACTTAACAGCAGTGAAGGGTAGGACTGTACCGCCTCCCGAGGGAGCCTTCTGGACAGACCTAAAGAGTGCAGGCAGTGAAGGCTGCTGATAGAGGCGAGTGAGTGAAGAGGTGAGGCGCCCTCTCTACCTGTGCGCTTGAACGATGGCGTGTAGACGTTTGGCTGCATCCCACCCCAGGACACGCACAGCATTGAACCAGCAGTTCCTCAAACAACGCTGCTTCGTACTGTGTGTGATACTCTGATGTTTTCTATTTTCTGTTCTATTTTAAATTGTTTTCTTTTTCATTAAAAAAGAAATCTATTGATAAATCACAACGTTGATTCCATGATCCACTAAGAGGTTACCAATGCCCATTGCAGTTTAAAAAAACCAAAACTAAAACCTGGCCTTAGCCCCTTGGAGGGTCCAGCTAGTTCTGTGGAAGAAACGCCCACAGCAGCATCCCTCTTTTCCGAGGAGAAGAGTCGTCAGTCAGGGCCTTCTGCTCTGTCTCTGGTCCCTGGTACAGGGCCCGAGGGTGTGAAGGCTCCCACCTTCCTGCCCGCACCCAGGCTCAGGCCTCTCTCCCAGCTGTGGAAGAAGCCTTCCTTCCTCTGCCCCTGCTCTTGCGTCCGCTTGTCATGGTCGCATACATGGCTCTCCTGGGCCACAGGCAGGGAGAAAGCCACCTGGTAAGACAAGCCCAAGACCCAGAGGCAAGATAAAAACCTGCCCTCGCTTGTACAGCTGGTTCTGCAGTTCCCTTCCATCTGGGTACCTGTGACCCCCTCCCTGTGTCTTTCTTCATGGTCCCGGGTCTTTTGGATGAGTTTCCCAGGGTACGCTCACCCCATCCGAGTCACAGACCAGTGCCACTGTCCTTGTGCTGTATCCACTTTGGTGAGGTAGGCCAGAGAGTGGACTGAGGCTTGGGTTCCGAGGCCCCAGGTCCCAAAACCTGCGCGCCCCTCCCTGGCTCTGTGACACTGGACAAATACATAACCCTGCTTGATGAGCAACTGAAGTCAAAGAACCAATGATCCCAGTGAAGGAAAGGCAGTAAATCACTCCAAAGAGAAATGCAGTCACCCGCTGGTTAAGTCACGCCATTTAAAGTAAGAAGAGGGAGAGCAGGCACCCACCAGGTCAACAGCAGTTCTGGGGACTGTTTATAGGGGTAATTAGGGGCTGATAACCACCACCCTCTCACCGGGCTGGGTGGTGCCAGCGCTGCTCCCTACATGCCTACCTTCAGCATCTGCAAGGTCAGGAGGTGTTACCCTACCTAACAGTCAGAGAAACCGAGGCCCAAGAAGTTATTGGACAGTGAGACATGCTTCCTTCGCATGGTCGGTTAACTTCTCTGAGCCCCAGATTCTGTCTGTTAAACGTGGTCATGAAAACACTTGACCTTAAGCTCCGTGAGGACAAGAACCTGAAGGTCCACCCCAGAGAAGGTCAAGCAGCATGTTCTTGGAGATTCTGAAATTCTTGTACACACAGTGGTGCCTCCCACCCTCAATGGCCTGTGGCCCTCTGGCTGGTGTCTCTGTGCCTGGACAGGGCGCACACGAAGGAAAGGCCGGGTCCCGGGTGTCTTAGAGCTGCCGGTCCCCACAGCCTGAGCCTGACGTCACGGAAGGCAGAAAGCCCGTGCCGCGGGCCCTCTGCTCTTACATTATTGTCTTTTGGGAAGAAATACGGTAACATTGTATACCCCAGAAACTAGCAAAAAATAAAGGATAAAATTTCTTAGAGTTGTGGAGAAACAGAAGGACTTGTATTTTTCCAGCATGGTAAATTGTTTTTTGAGGGACAAACTGGTAAAATACAAAAGGTGATTACGTTGTTCATATACTTTGGCCCAGGAATTTCACCAATTGAAATAGGCCTCGAGGAAATAACTCACCAAATAAGAAAGTAACTTGTAGAAAGTTATTCAAAATGCTGCTGTTCATAGTTCTAAGAAACTGGAAACAACCCGAATACCCAAAATAGCAGAATAGCTAAACAAACAGGAATGCAGCATCATTAACATAAAATACAGCTGCGGAAGTGACAGCCATTCTGATTATTTCTATGCGTGCAAATGTCTATATGAAGTAATGTTACTTATAAGAAGCAAAATATAAAATGGGTCATTTACATTGATTACATCCATGTGTGCACATTGATGAAGATGAAGGAATATTTGCAATGGCAAATAATCACTTAACGTTCCTTTGAATTTTTATCTACATAGAGTTGTTTCCGTTCTTGATTTTTTTTTCTTTTTTTTAAGGACAGTATAACCGTGGGCTTGTCACGGCGTGTCTAACTTTCCCAGGCTTGTGTGAGTGGGCAGGACGTTGCGCAGGCGGGGCGAGCTCTGTGCGGACCGGCTTGCGGAGGCTGCTTCGCGCACAGCCTTGTGGGAAGTGTTTGCTAACTTAGCCAGCAAAGCGGGCTCTTTGCTTCCCCCTCACAGCTTCTCTCCTGCTTTCTAGGAAGATCAGCCCATCTACATGGCAGTGAAGGGAGTGGTGTTTGATGTCACTTCTGGGAAGGGTAAGTGGCTTGGCTTTACGTGTCCTTACGTCCAGAGTGGGCCGTGGAGGGGTGAGGATGGGGAGGGACCCTGGGCAAGTCCTCTGCCCTAGGGTGGAGTAGACAATCGCTGTCAGTGTTGGGCTTCAAAAGCTTTTCCTTGTATTGTCTTGCTCCTGCTCAAAAGCCTTCCATGGCTCCCGTTTCCTATCGGATCAAATACCCTAGTTGAAGCAGTGAGAGGAAAAGTGTTACAAAGAGTTGGGATCGCAGAGCATTGTAGGACATTTCAATGCTATTTCATGGTTTCCGAACTGGTAACTACATAGGATACGGAGGTAGTTGTATAATGGATCACTGTCTGATACCAATAAGTGAACAGAAATAAACTTAGCTCCTAGTAACATTAAGAAAACTAAACATTTTTCTTGTTTGGATTTTAAATATTTTTAAGAGATTAAAAAAGATCATTATTTTTAAAAAATGGCCTCTCAGCCCAGCATGAGAGTTATTCCATATTCCATGGGCGACTTATTCCATATTCTGAATTAGTGGAATCCAAACTGATGGCTGGGGCGTGTCGGACTTCATGTCTCCGCTGTCCCCATCCGCGGGCCCGGGGCCTCTTCTAGGACCGGGTTGGACCTCAGACCCCGACCCCTGCGGCCACGTCCAGTCCCCCGGCTGCGCTGCGTGCACATCCACCCTCACTTCCTGCTCTTTCCTCCCACTGCAGAGTTTTACGGACGAGGAGCCCCCTACAATGCCTTGGCCGGGAAGGACGCCACCAGAGGGGTAGCCAAGATGTCCCTGGATCCTGCAGACCTCACCCATGACACTGTGAGCAGATGATGAGCCTTTGTCAAATGTTCCGCCACCTCAGCCATGGCCTCTTTGACCTCTGGGCAGTGGCAAGGCTTTCTGACTAGGCTTGTTACATTCCAGTCCGCTTGGCAGGGCGGCCAGCTGTTCTCTCAAAATAGATGTGCTGCTGGGCCACTCCTAGTCAGAAACCTTCCACGGCTCCCCGGGGTCAAGTCCAAACTGCTGTGAACCTGCGATCAAACTCAGTGAGCTTTTGGCAGTTTGGCTCCCACCTGCTTTGGCAGCCCCAGCCCCTTACAGCCTGCACCTGCCACCCTGCCTCGTGCAGGTTTGTCGTTAGTCCCTGAGGCCCACTCCCCTGGCCACTCTCGGTGGCTCAGGGGATGGACGGGGTTGAGAAGCTGAGTCTCCCCAATGCTCAGATTCCTGTGAAGGAGGAAACAAAAGCACTACCTAAAACCACCTCAGTGTCCGTGTAATCCCAACAGAAAGTCTGGCATCCACCCCAACTGTGTCCAGATGAGTGAAACTCTTAAGCTGCAACATTACAGCAACATGTTAAGAAATTAGCGGGGAGGAGGGAGCAGAAATCTGTGACGAGAGGAGTGTAGAGAGCAATGGAGCTACTCGGTGCTCCCTGCCCCGTCCCAGGCTGGGTGTTCTCTGGAGTCTTAAATTCCTCCATCAGTCAAAGAGCAAACACAATGGTCATTGCTCCCCGACATCCTCCCCGCCCCAACCCACCCCACAGGATTGTTTCTTAAAAAGTCAATTGTCCATTCGGTTTGTGGAGATATTTTTTTCCCTTGCACTCGGGGGGTGGGGTGGGGACAGTAGGGCAGGGATGGCGAGAGGCAGTGCCAAGCACAGTTCCCTCATCCCCACCCTGCGCCCCTGTGTTTCTTGGGTTTTTCTCTCAAGACGGGCCTCACGGCTGAGGAGCTGAAGTCCCTGGATGACGTCTTCACCAAAGTGTACAAAGCCAAATATCCCATCGTCGGCTACACGGCCCGAAGAATTCTCAACGAGGACGGCAGCCCCAACCTGGACTTCAAGCCCGAAGACCAGCCCCATTTTGACATAAAGGACGAGTTCTGATGTTCTCCCTGTAGGAGCAGATCCTTGGGAGGGCGAGGCAGGGAGAGACTCCTGGGCGAAATCTGCACAATGGGCCGCCTGGGTCTCCGGTCGGCCAGATCTGAATAAAGCAGACGTTTAACCTGGAGCGCAGAAAGCATTTTATTGTCCGTGGTCAAGTGTTCTGTCCAGGTGGGGACCCTGCCCACACACCAGCCACGGTGGTAATAACAGCCTCGTGAGGGTCAACATTGACTCTCCGGGTGGTTGAATTAACGAGTGACTGTCTTTACTTCTTTATATTTTTCTGTACTTGCCAAATTTCCTACTGTAACTATGTTTGCTTTAGAATAAGCACAGAAATAAACTTATTTTTACAAAAGGAGAATTCTTCCACATATGCCCTTTCCTTGGAGCCACATAGCATCGCTTATAAGGGGGGAGCCCGTGCCGTCCTTCTCCTGCTTTCTGTCTCCCCTGCATGTGAGGGGCCTCCACGAGCAGGGGGCACCCGCGAGCAGTGAAGAGCTGGGAGGTTTGGGTGGAGGGGAGGAGAAAGGGAAAGGGAGATATTAAAGGGTCTGGCTCCCCATCACAACCCGGAGAGTGACGGTGTGAACTGGCTTCAGGCCCATCTGCAGCGGGAAAGTGGTGTGGAGGGCCGGGGTCCCATCTTGGCAGAGCCTGGCCTGGAGGGGTCACCCCAAGGACAGTGAAGGACATCCAGCACACTGGACTTGGGTCAGATTCATAAGGAAGTCCCTTCTGAGGCGGGATTTTCCTGTCTAATGGACATTCAGCAATGTCTAGCCATTCTTATGTTTTTGGTCGTCACAACTATAGAATACTACTAGTGTTTGGTCTCCAGCGATGTTGTTAAACACCCTGCAGGGCACAGGACAGCTGCCCACCACAAACGATTATCTGGTCCAAAATGTCAGTTGTGCTGAGGTCGAGAAAACCTGTGATATAGGCTCCTCCTGGAGATTTTACAGTAGAGATGAATTTCTTTGACACAAAACTTTGTCTTTTATTAAAGTAAGTAGCAGCTACCCCCAAGAGAGAATTTGTGCGTTAAGCAGCAGAACCTCCTAGAGGGTTCTGAATGCTGGTTCCTGGGCCCTGGGTATTTCTAGGACATGGCCTGCAAACTGCCTTTTTAATAAGCCCCCAGGAGACCGTGACACACATGGGCCCCAATGCACTTTGAGAAACGCCGCCTTTTGCCTCACCAGGCCCCTCAGGGAGAGCTTTCTGAGGACCAGGTTTGACCTCTGCTTTATTCCTTAGTGTGTCCAGACTAGAGGTCTAACAGTGAACTGCTGGGTCCCACCCAAGAAGCTGGGACTTTGATGGCCCTCCAAGACGAACGGCCTGGGACTCATCTAACAGGACTCTTTGGCCTGGAATTCAGGCCAAAGTTTTTACACGGCTGAGGTGGTCCAGCCCGGGGCATTTTGCCCCCAAACCAATGGCTGGAAGTCCTCAGGACACCCGAAGTCCTCAGGGCACATCAATGGGTGCTTACATGCCACCCACTTCCTGCATCACCCAGCAATGTCTGGGCTAGGATTCCATTCCTTAGGGCCCCATCTCTGCAGAGTGGGCAAGGTCTCCAAAGTCAGGACCTTGGGAACATTCCAGAACTAGTTCCCCGCTCCCTGCTCCTTCCCTTGCCCCCATCAAAGCAGTTTTCCCTCGGGACCTCAGGCCCCGCACTCCTCCTGGGCAATCCCGGCCCCATTCCCTGCCCTACACGTCGAAGGCCTCCTACTGCCGCTGCCCCGCCCCCGCCCCCACCGGCCCCACAAGGGGCTTCTCATCAGAGTCTCTCTCATTGGGAGGTTCCAGGTCAGCCTTTCCCAGGGCTGAGCACACAAATCCGGGGCAGCCTGGACAGGGCCCACAGAGGGTGGTGCACCTCTGTGGGGGGAGGGGGACACGGGCTGGCCTGGGGATTTCCATCACGTGGGTCTACAGGACCCGAAGGAACAGGCCCCTGGAGCCCCACAGCCCGTCTGCTTGTCCCACTTGCTCCCACTCCCATGTCTACTTGTCCTGTTTGCTCTGCTTCAAAGGCTTGTATTTCCTCCTCACAAGACGCAGTCTAGACCAGTCTCTGCCAGGGAGTCTTCCCCGCCTCTGGGGTCACCTGTAGCTTACACTCACTCGCTTTGCTGTAACTGCCCATTTACGAGCCTGTCTCCCTCAAACAGGAGAGCCTTCAAGGCCCAGCACAGACACGCATGCAGGGTGGCCAACTTTCGGGACTTCCCAGGTTTTGCACCCGAAGTTCGGCATCCCAGGAAGCCCCTTAGTCCCACGCAAACCTGGGGAACGGAACTGTACCCGCAAACATGGGGAACAGCACCGCACCCGCGGCTGAGGCAAGCCCTCCTCTCAGCGGAGGGGCCCCAGACAGAGCAGGGAGGGCACCCGCCACCGTGGTTTGGTGAGAGGCACTATCACTCCAACGTAAGGGGTGTGGAGGAGTGGCAGGGGGTCGGATTCTTAACCAGCCCCTGCACAAGTTCACCATCAACAGCTCAGAGCAGAAGCCCGGGACCTGGTGTACGGCAGGTGCCCAGGGCACTGGAGTGCTGTGGATGTTGGTGTAATTTGTGGAGCCCTTCCCCAACTCTACGTTCCTTGTCCAAGGTGCAGCCCCACCTTCCAGAGTCTTCCTTAGGGGAAGCAGGGTGCCTCCTACTTCATGTTCCCTGCCGATCCCTGTCCCCCTCCTGTCCCTGCTCCCCAGGCCTGCAGCTGCACGGGGCCTTCCCCTGCCACCACGGGAGAGAAGAGGCTTAAAGGCTGGAGACAAGGCTGTGCAACATGGAGCCCATTCTCCATCTAAGAAATAAGAACCCTAAGGACCGAATGTCCCAGAGGGGTAAGCGACAGCACTGACCCACCCCCAAAGAGCAGGGCAAAAGGGCCTAACCAGCACCCCAGGTCCTACAGGTGGGGTCGCTGGAGGCCCCTGGCCCGGGCCCCAGCCAGATCCTGGTGGACAGGAGACTCCCGCACTCTGATACCTCACATCCTTCTCAGGCACCGGCTGCAGAGAGGTCACCTCACTACACCCTTAGCTTCCGGGAGAAAATCTGAGGGTCAGAATTGAGCAGCCTCAGCCCCTGCATTGGCCTCCTTCAAAACTCTGCTCCTCGGAGGCCTGGCCTCCAGCAAGCACAGCCTCCCAGGGTTCCCTCAGCTCCCACCAGAGCCAGAAATCCCTGCTCAGAGCCTGGTCCCCGCGAGGCGGTGAGCGTGCGGCCCCGGGCCCTCCCCACAGATCCCTGTGGTTACTCGGGAGCAGCTGGCCATGCCCTGGGGGATAGCGGCTCTGGGGCCTAAGGCCCTTGCTCAAGCAGGCCTGCAACTGCACAGGCTTTTCTGGAGAGGCGGGTCAGGCTGCCAGAAATTGATGGGTCAGGCAGAGGTTGGCCCTACAGGCCTCTGTCCAGGACATCGAATTTAATCATTGCCTGGAGAATATAATACTCGATGTGCTGCTCATCTTTTCCACTCCATTCTGCAGCCTGTCAGCCCCGTGCATGTGCGATTCAGCTTTCTTCCCTGCGCTCCTCTGCCCGGCCAGATGTTCTGGCCACGCCGGGGCATTCCTGCCCGGCAAAGACAAGGCGCTCATGTCCCCAAAGCAAGCTCCGCCCCCTGGGGCTGGAGCCAGCAGCCCAGTCCCAAAGCCTGACACTTGCCCTACAGGTGGCGAGGGTCTCGTGCTGCACCTGCACACTGCGGTAACCAGCCCAGGGACGCGCCCTTGACGTGGCAGAGCCTCCTTCCCAGTTTCTCCTCTGCAGCCCCAGCGCCTGACCCCATGCATCACTTCCCAAAGGCATGCTCCTGCACGCAAGGCCCTGCCCCCGTCCCTGTGATGGGGGAGAACCCAGGTTAAGACACAAATTTACTTCCTCAGTGACTGCGAGCAGTGACCAGGCTCCCCTGGTGGCCTCTCCCTCCAACAGCGCAGACTCTCCGGTTTCCCAGGTGTCCTGAACACTTCCCAGAGTCCCCAGGGCAACAGGGAAAGCCACCCCTCTCCCCACGGCGGCATTTCCTGCACTGCAGTTCTGTTGCCAGGGGCCTGGTATTGGGTGCGCCAGAATGTGCCCGCCATGGTGCGGCTCGTCCCACCCCCAGCTTCACATGAGGGTTTGGGCCCCTGCCCGGCTGTCACGTCCCCCAGGCTGGGTCCTACCCCACAACCCAGAAGTGAAGTGGCTTTCATTCCAGAAGGTGCCTTACTCCCCTGGGCCCTTGCACCTGCTGTTCCCTCTGCATGGAATGCTCTCCTCCTTCCCACATCACCTGTAAAACCTTCTCTTGGCTTAGACACCACCTCATCAAGGAAACTTTCCCGGACCCCTGCGTGCCCCGGTGGCACCCAGCACCCCTCTGTGGCAGCACCGATCCCACTGCTTGGTAATCACACGTTAATGTGCCCACCCCACCCCCAGGCTGGGATGCACCTGCCCTGTTCTCAGCTGCCTCCCCACCCCCTAGCCCAACGCCAGCACCTCCCGTGTGTGAGCGCATGGGTGAATGAGCGGACGAATGAATGAACGGACTGGTGCTCCCACGCCCAGGTCACCCTCTCCTCGGTGGCCTCCTCCCACCCACACTCAGGGGTGTGGGTCTGAATCCTGGACTTCTAACTGGGGCACCAGCCCAGTCCGCTGGGCATCACTTTCGGGATCACTCCTGAGACTCTCCACAGCCTTGTCATGTGGGGGACGAATAAAAATAGTAAGTGGTTCCCCTGGCAACCACCACAGGGATGGTAACCAGCATGGACGGCCTGGGAGAGCCTTGCGGCTGGGAGGGGCGCAAGCCCTGGCCCTGTGGCAGCTCTCCTACCCGGGCAGGGCGGGGCGGCCTCGCTGCCGCTCCTCTCCTGGCCGCGGGGGCCACCTGCTCCGCAGCCTGCCCAGACTTCATCCCTGTCGGCCCCTGCACTGCTGCTCCGTCCCCTCCCTGCGGGGTCACTGAGGTGTTCCTCTGGCTGCCTGGCCCTGTCCAGTGCCTGGCTGCAGGGGCCACCAGCCGGAGACTCAGCCTTGCTGCCAGAGGCCTGATAGCGGGTGTGCCCATTGTGCCGGGTGGGTCCCAGGTGGCTCCTAAGCTGCCTGGATCTCTGCCCAGGTCTTCAGTGCCTGTGGCTCTGGGCCCTCCCCTCCCCCGCGGCTCAGTCTAGGCCTTGCCTGGGACCCTGCTCTCGTCACCACCCGACTCCCCTCTAGGATGAGGTGAGGGGCACAGGCTCCCAGGTTGAGGCCCTGGAGGTCCCCGGGGCGTGGGAGTCGGCACGGGCTGTGGAGGGTGCTGGGAGAGAGAGCTGAAAAGCGC